TATATATATATATATATATATGTATGCATGCGCATTGTCTAAACGAGGAGACAGAGTTGGCCAATTCCATATTCCCTAAACAATATCACTTATATACTACTATTCAGTCTCGGACTCACTATCGTCATCCGTCGCCGGTGCCGAAGCAGCACTCGTGTCCTCTGCCTGCTCGTTGACGGGTTGGACCTCTTTGCAGCGGTACTTCATAACCTCGAGTGCCGACATTTTGTAATATGACGCACCAGAGCACGCAATACCAAGAGCGGGCATGGTAAATATGTAGCACTGCCTTGCTTAGCCTCCTTTTATTTGTCGCTTCTACGGACCTTAAAAGATCACTGCGCTTGAAATCCTTCAACTATCTTTTTGTTTGTTTCTTCGGCAATGATACCAAGCGAGAAAAAAAATAAACAAATCAAAAAAAGGCACAGTGTTATTCGCAGTCTTCTCCCGTAGGCATCCTTCAACGCATGACGTAGGTACGTTGCGCACACAAACACACCAATCAGCGCACTCTGAGCGCGTGTCACTCCTACCGCAGAAGGTACAAGAATCTTTCAAATGGGATCACAGGCTTGCGGTACGCGAGCTCCGCCGCAGACGAGTGAAAACTCAGGCCTACCTCCACCGTGCCCTGCGCCTCACAAACGCGCCCCATCCCCTCGTACGCGTCTGTTAGAGTCGGATTGCAACGAATTGCTGTCTGGAAGTTCTGCGCCGCCTCCACAAGCCGCGTCACACACATATGTTGCGGCTGGCCGGCTTTAAGTGCCTCTAACAGGTAGAGGCGGCCCAACAGGAGATACGCTTCGGCGTGTGCGGTGCTCACCTCCAGAGCCTTCCCCAGCATTGTCTGCAGAGAGAGAATCTCGTTGCTGTCGAGGAGTGCCCGTCGCTCCTTCCCGAGCCGCTCGTCCTCTATCTCGTGGAGCTCAGCAACGGCGCCCTCTATGCCAGCAACGCTGCTGCGCCGCTGCAGCACCTCCTCGAGTTTCTCAACCCGGTCAATCTTCAGTCTCGCACTGCAGCAGACGAGGTCGGCAAACGCCTGGCGGTGCTCCTCTCTCGCTCCACCAATATACTCAAGGCCGGCATCGACAGCAAGCTCCGCGATGGAGTCGCAACCTGCCTCCAATGCAACATACGCCAAGAGCGCCCAGTGCCCCGCCACCCGCCCCGCCCCTTGAGCGCGGCTGCTCCAGCCACCATCAGATACAACGGTGGTGACGATATCTGGAGCAAGGGCAGATCCACCAGAAACGCCTGTTGGCTCCAGTGTGTACTGCATCACTGCCTGGACGCGTGCCACCATTACTGCCAGCAACTCTTCCATGCTCTCATTCTGCTTGGTACTGATGTCGTTCGCCACATGCCGCATCAGCGCCAGAACGAGTCCACCAACGACGTACTGTGGATGCAGTTGCTCCAAATGGTAGGCAACTGCAAGCGCCCTGTCATACTCACCACTGGTGGAGTGTAGTACAGAGAGTAACACCAACGCATCCACGTCTGCACGACTTTGCTTGACAAGGAGTTGTAAGAGCATCATGGCTCTCGGCGTCTCCCCAAGAAGAGCCATTAGCCACGCGAGTTTAGTATGCAGCACAGCTTCCGTTGGGACCGTCGCGCCGCCCCATGTTATTGCCTCTGAGACCCCCACAACAAGATCTCGCGCCATCCTCTCCAGCGTGCTGCGACCACCGCTGTCCTGCACTTGACATCCAAGTTCATAACACGTCCATGCGAGATGTATGGTGGTAAGGGGGCAGCGGTGGGCGGCGACCGCCTCTTCTGCCAAACGCACAGCTGCACGCAACGATGAGGTGGTTCCCCGTTTCAGACCAATGCTGGAGCCCAATAGAAGAAAACGTGCTGCTAGCCACCGACGCGGGGTTGCTGGCAGCGCATCTTCGGCACTTGTGGAGGCGTTTTCAACGGAGCTGAACTCTCCACCTTCGCTCTCTGCGAGTGGATGGGACCTTGCTGCCGCTGAGGTTGTCGCACCTACCGGCTGACCACTACTGCTAGAGGGATCCTCTTCAAGTAGTTTCTGGGCAGTATCCGCTAGCATCTGCATCACACGTTGCGGGAGAATTTTCCTGTTTTGCATGCACCGCATTGCCACCTCCACCCACTGTCTCGAAGAGTTGGGGGGAGCGGGCGTGCGTTCCCGAGTTGTGTTCACCGTGGGTGAAACGACGGCTTCGTTCAGAGGCGGCGGAGCGACGATGGACGCCCCACGCGAGTGCAAATTTGATGTGGACATGATACGTCAGGCCCCGCTACACACTCTTGAACTCCACGTTGTGGTGGTGGGGAAGGACGCTCTTCGTGGCAGCCACCCTTCGCACAACAAGATCGTTTAAATTCATCTCAGCACCGGCATCGAGCAAACAAAAAAAAAAAAGAAGACATTAACAGGTTGAGCAGAAACACTGAAATGGCTGTGTAAATGAAACGCAACCACAATGACCCACCCACGAACGAGCACAGGCAGTAAGAACAACGCCAGAGAAGTGCGGCACATCGCAGTCTTTTTTTTAAACGTATTGCCGTGACGTTTTCCCAAGGCTGCGATCACACCCACCGTCTGTCATTCACGGTTAGGTCACAGTCCTCNTTTTTTAAACGTATTGCCGTGACGTTTTCCCAAGGCTGCGATCACACCCACCGTCTGTCATTCACGGTTAGGTCACAGTCCTCCGGCACCAGGGTGTCCGCCCGCTGGATGACAGTGCCGTGGCGCAGCGACACGACGTTCAGCCGGTCGTCGAGCACGCCGCTCACCAGTTCGTATCCCTTCAGTGTCGCGCCGTTGAGGCCCTCCGACGCCGCCACCGCCTCATCCACAGTGGACATGCGCAGCAGCGCAGCACCCGTGAAGGCACCACTGCGATCGTCCACGGCAATGCGCACGTCCACAACACGGCCATATTCCGAGAAGGAAGCGCGCAGCTGGTCCACGGTAAGCCAGTACGGCAGGCCGTCCAGCACGACATCAGGAACGAAGGCCCGCAGTGACGCTGCAGCAGCGCTATCCTCCGCAGCTCCACCGTCATCTATCCGCGGCGGTGGCTCCGCCACCTCCACCGCCACGTCGAGCAGCATGCGATCCACATCGGCGAGGGTGTATGTGTTGTACACCGGGTCATGAAGCGCGATGAAAACCAGCTCGCGGTAGTACGCGTTTCGCACCGCCTGAAGGGCGTTGTGCATGGAATCAACCGTGACGATGAAGTCCTGAGTATGCACCGCGCCGTCAGCGTGGGTGTCATCCGGGACNATGGAATCAACCGTGACGATGAAGTCCTGAGTATGCACCGCGCCGTCAGCGTGGGTGTCATCCGGGACCAGCCGCTGTCTCAGCAATGTGCACGACACTTGACCGTAACGACCGAAATACGTGTTCATAGTCTCTTCATTAAGTAAGTACTCGGACACCATGCGGACGAACAGATGCGTCGTTGTCGTCACCGCAGCCACTGCCGAATCGGTTGCCGCCGGTGGGCGAATGAGAAACATCGGCTGGTCCGCTATTTGCTTTTCCGACTCCGCTAAATCCACAGTTGGCGTTTCTTGCTGTTCCAGTTGATGCTTTTCTTTATGTATTGATTCCACTTCCTCTTTTAGCTGCTTCTCTACGCCCGCCACGCCGTCTTCTGCTTCTGTAGCGTCACCAAGCGATGGCTGTGAGTAACTCGGCGATACGCTTGCCTCCGTTTCATCACGAGGCCGCTTCTTGGCCACGGATAGCTGCGGCAATTGTTGCTTTCCGCCATCACTCTTGTTGTCGCTTGTGTTCTCATCATTGGGACGATGTGGTGAGGACCTCAGCAGGGCCGTAGGCGCCTCAGCCAGCTCGGGAAATGACAAAAAAGAGAGAATGTGGCCGCATACATCCGGCGTGCATAAGGGTCCAAAGCGACGCTGCAGGCATAGCAGCACCAGCTTGACGTGCAGCTTGGCCGCCGGGCTCACGCATGAAAAGAACAACGGAACCAGGAAGCAGTTCTCGGCGTAGACACGGTGCAAGTGCGGCACCATGTGAAGCAGACGGGCCAAGTGGTAGCTGTGCAGATCACGTGTTGCGGTGTCCATCTTGTGCCTTTTCTTCCTTCACCTCTGAATGTCTTCCGAGAGGGAAACAGAAGGGAAAGCCCTTCTCGCTCCCCACACGTACAAAAACAACAGCGAAATAAGGAAGATTTCTTCTTATCAAAACAAACACGCACGTGCTCAGTGTTTACAGAAGCGTCAAGTACAAATCACACGCGGAGAGGCTGTGTGGTTCTCTGCGTGTGTTTACGCCTCCTTCGCCTTTACTCGCTGCTTATTCGCTTCTCAACTACTCCCGATGGGGGGCGTGGAGGTCTTGAGAATCGCCGAGCGCAGCGCCGCACTGCGCGACGCGAATGCATCAATCATACCTGTTAGAAAGGGTGCGAGAAGCGGAAACCTTCCGTGATGTAGAAGGGTGACGATTCCGTCAGACTCATCGAGTACTACCGTGACAAGCCCATCCACAACGCTCTCCTCCGCCGCGTTGGTGTCGAACAAGAGACACAAGTCACCAGTGGCGGCGGCACCAAACACACCAATAGTCGCAGCCACTGGAACACGGTGGAACCGCAGGTGTTTGCTCTCCACGATGTCACCATTGGGAAGCCGTGCCTTGGGCAACATCAGGTTGTGCAGGGCCGCAACAGCAGCGTGCAGCGCAGCAGCACGCAGTCCGCCATCCGCGTTGAGCACAACCAGCTCCACCTGCAGCACCCAGCAGGCCTCTCCACTGAACACCGAGAGTTCGGTGAGATCCATACAGGAGATGATGGTAGAGCGAACAAACCAGGCCGTTTCCCGCAGCGCCCGTTCGACTTTGTCTGTGATGTAGCTTGGAAAAAAAGGAGCTGCAACATTCACGGTGAGTCGGCCCTCCTCGGGGTGCTGTGAGGGAGGGGGGCCAAAGACACCGCTAACTGTGCAATTCACGCAAGTGCCTGCCTCATCCGTGTACAACGTTGAGGCGAGCACGCTGTCTGCCTTCGCTCCCCCTTTGGTGTCGTGGAGGATGTGTGGTGTGCGAATAACGTCAAATGGGCGTTCGTCCAACCGCTTCTTTTGAGTCAGTAGATGAACGACGTGTTGCTTGTAGGACACAAGTTCCACGGCGCCGGTGGCAGGTGGGAGAGACATGTGGCCACTCACGCTTCCGGGGACATACAGGGAGAAAAAAGTGAAGAAGAAAAAACCATACCGGGAAAAAAGAAAACTTCTGTATATATGTGTGTGTGTTTACATTCTTATGCTCAGAATTACCATTATATATATATATATATAATGGTTTACAGATTTTGGGGAGATTTCGACTTTGGGACAATTCTTGTGTCATTATTCCGTCCTCATCTTGGTATTAGCTTATCATATCTGATGAACACATATGGAATGTATATATACATTCATATATAGCGAAGAGAGACAGATAAATAAATCTGTCTTTGCTAAGTACTATGCCAAGAGTTTTGTTCCGCACTCTGCGCAGAATCGTTGCGTGCCGGAATGCAGCTTTGTCCCGCATTCAAAGCAATATCGTAGTTTTGGGGCTTCGCTCACTCCGTCAGAGTTCGCGCCACCCATTTCCTTCGGTTGGGTAGGTGGGTTGTGTCCATTCTTCGGTGCGGCTGCAACAGTAGTTAGCGTTGAGGGTGGGTCTGCGGCCGCCGCTGCCTTTGTTGTTTCCGTCGTTGTGGTTACTGTTGCTGTTGCTGGCACGGCCGCTGCATCTGGTGCCAGTGCTTGCGGTGATTTTGGTGGGGATGCAGTCACTTCTGGCTGCTGTTGTTGTTGTTGTTGCTTCTTTCTGGCGCCTGTCCCCAAGGGTACCTCAATGGGTAATTGTATTTCGCTTCCCTTCTTTGCTCCAGAGCCACTTGCACGAGCGCTAGAAGCGCGACCAGCCGAAGTGGAAGGCTTTCGCAACGGCTTATTGCGCTCCAGGCAAACCTCCTCGTGCTTAGCGAGACGATCAACGTTAAACGTGCGATTGCAGTGGCGACACCTCGGCAACTCTTCCTTCTTTGGTAAGTCTAGTTTCAAGCGGGATTGCACATTCTTGAAGCGCGATACATTGTTGAGCGGAATCTTCACCCCGCGTCTCTCAGGGAGAGGCTCCTCATCCTGTGATTGGGTATCCCGTGAGCGAGATGCGCCATCACTTGGTATTTTCTCATCCAAGCACATACTTGCACGCTTCTCCTCTACCATCACTGCTGGCAAATCTACACTCTTCACGCCACTCTTCCGCGGCCCACTCAGCGAGGCAGTCGCTCCCTGACTCACCTGCCTTGAGGTGGGAGCTGAGACCTCCAGCTGTGTGTGTTCCAGGCCGCTCCTTTTCGGCGACACTGCCGCACAGATTTCGGCGTCGCTAGTACGGTCAATATCATTTTCATCATTATTGTCACCAACATCATCACTAGAAGCAGTAATAGCAGCAATAGCTGCGGCAACGGAAGGAGCAGCATCTTTAGCGGGTTTGGTTGACGCCAATGGGTCCTTTTCCATCGAGGCGGGACTTTCCAAGCTCTCCTGGCGAGAGAGTGTTTTATGGGGCGATGACGAAGCACTTACAGCACATGGCGTCTCACTGCCACTCACCGCTGTTAGGGCTTGTCCGGGCTTCTTGTCGAGAGACACAACCTCAGCCGTTTTTACGGCAGCATGTCCCTCAGTGGGTGTTTGGGGCGTCGGCTGAGATGGTTGCCTCTTTGCTGTCGCGGAACTGGACGGGCGGGAAATCGGCTTTGAAGCGCCCGATGATCCCGGCTTGCAGCTGCGCTGATGGACCTCCAGGCGGTCTGGGAGGAATGTGCGCCCGCAATTCTCGCACTTCAACAGCATGTTAGTGTTGAAGTGATCTATTTGCATCTCATTGAACCGATCGAGATCCCGTCCTCTCATCTTACCGCCCCTAACATTATCTTTCCCTGTTTTCACTGCACACAATTCCTTCATTTGTTTTTCATGGGACTCGGGGTCAAGCGGTTTTGGACCGCGCTTCGCCGGGTCCATGCGTTCCCATTCAATAAGCTTCTTCACATAGCACTGCGGTTGATGAATGGGCAGACTGGCAGAGCTGAATTGCAGTCCGCAGAGGTAACAGAAGAGAAAATTGGGCCTTGACGCCTGCCCGGTGCCACGCGAGTGGGCACGCTTCCGCGGCGAAGATTGATCCCGCAACTCCTGCTCAAGCACCTCGTACAGCCCACGTGCAACGATGAGGCTGGAGCCCGAGCCGCCGCTGCGTCGCGGTGTCGTGCATTCCGGCTGGGAAACGCGCGCCGCTGCATTAGTTGATGATTCTGTCTTAGAACCACGTGCGGCGGTCCGCGGCGTGGAGCAATGTAACGACGTGCTACTGCCTGGGTCACGATGTTTAGAACTCATTTCCCCTTTTCTTTCTTTCTTTTTTGTTTTTTGGATTTCCGTTTGCTCCACTTTCCTCAATATGTATGTATATAAATATATATGCGTGTGTGCTGCCCACCCACCCAGAGAGGGGCCACGGAGAGAAGCCGCTGTTTCCACGGAGCCGGGCAATGCAACCAGTGAAGACGAACAGGAAGAGGAGCGAGAGAGAAGCATGAAGAAGTCAGTCATGTGCGCCAGGAAAAAAATAATCACCCTTCAGCATTCATGCATAGAAGAGAGAGAGAGAGAAGAGGGGGTGGAGAAAAAAAGCTGATCCTTGTAACAACAACCTCAATCGCTTGCCAGTGAGTAAAATAAAAACCATGGCACATGGACCCACATACCTGAACAGTAATTGCTACTTCCTTGGCATGTTTGCAGGAAATATGTATGTAGAGGTGCCCCATATCCCCAGTCCCTGGACTTGAAGATATTCACCTTGAATCGCGCCCCTTCTCTCCTCACGGTATTGCCCACCCCACCCACCCAGGCACAAATGATATTGTGGGCGCTCCTACTTTTTCTTCCGCTGCAGGGACTTCGGAACATATGGCGCCGCCCCACCCATCATGATCAGCTCCATCTCTTCTTCGGTAAACAGACGCGGTTGAAACTTCTTTGGTAGCGCGTCGAATGAATCCAGAACGGCTTTCGACGTCGCTCCACCACCGACGCTGCTACTGCCTTTGCCGTTTGCCCCGAGACCGCCACCTTTCCGAATGGCGTGTATGAAACGGATGAGGGGCTGATGATGGCGCAGAAGCGTTACGCGCAACATTCACTCACACTTCAGAAACTCAGCGGAATTCCCTTCTACTTTTCTAGCGATGTAGGAAAAGAATAGAGCAAAGTAAAAAAGCCCAAAAGAGGACGTGAGTATCATCCCATCGTAAAGAAGTTCATCGCAATTGTCGTGGCATGAGTGAAGAAGAAACCAAAGAGAGCTTTACTTGGGTTTCACGATACCGCAGATGATGAAAGCTCCACCACGGCGTAGCCAACAGCGGCGGCAGTCCATGGATCAATGTCCACAGCCCCACTGTCAACGCGAAGGTGAAAACGCCCTTCCAATCCGCGCATGGCACATTGGAGGGCAGTCGCCAGAAGCTGGAAATCCCCGTCCACAGCAAGCTGCACAAGCACAACTCGCTTTGGTTCCACCAACGACTCTCTCTGCAGGAGCGCAACGCTGTGTTCCACAATATCTGCCACCGCAGCCACATCCGCGTCACTGTCAACGAGGCAGAGCCATAACGCTGGAATTTCGGCCTCGGAAGTCACCCCCGCAATCTCCACGGAGGGACTTTTTCCTTCAGCCCGCTCGCTTTTTCTTGCAACACGCACGAGAGATACATTCGGTAGACGGAAAAGCCACTGTGAAAGAGCCTCACCTAGCAGGCGTGCGCCACTCGAAGGAGGGCAAGCTGCCACACCGCGTTGAGGACAGCTTTCATCACCAGCAAGCACCACGATGGTGCCGCCGCCATACTGCAGAGTGTCGGTGAAGGTGAGCAAGAGAGAGCCAGCCGCCTCCATGGCCATTGCGTGGCGCCACACAGACGGCGATGGCTGCTCCAAGGAAGTCATGTCATGCGCACCGAGGGTCGTGGCGATGCTGCTGTGCATAAATGGGAGGGCTGCAGTCACGGACTGCCCAGAAGGACCGTGGAGCGCAGCGCATGAGACAACCTCCGCCCTCGCAGCATCTGACGCCATCGTAAAGTCCACACGTCGTGGGCGTGGGTACAGGCAACACAGAGAACCATCATCGCACAGTGTCGCAACACCAAGACGCTTCGCCAGGGGTGCTGCAGAGAGCACCGCATCCACCAGCTGCTGCTCCTCGAAAGAAAGAGTACCCTCCGGTTGCGAGGGTCCACACAGTGGGCTTTGCTCACCGAAGCGCGCCGAATCTCTGCGCAACAAAAGCGTCACGTGGAAATCACACTCCCAAGAACGCGTTGCACCATCGCGAGGATGCTGTAGGACAAAGACAGCACGCAGACACATTTGCAGAGGGGGCGGAAGCCTCTCCGCCCAACGATTAAGGGATGAAAGAAGCCGCTGCTGCTCGAGCGTACAGAGAAAACAGTCCGGTGTGTCTCCTGCATCCAAGGAAATACAGAATTTCCCGGCCGATGGTGAAGGTACCTCCTCTGGGCTTGCCGAAGGCCTCTCTTCGTGCTGCGGTAGACGGAAGTAAAACTCCATTTCCCGTATTGAGTGTGCAACGATGGGAACATCAAATGGCTCCAGAAATTGCAGCGGCATCCGCAGCTGCAGCGGCGATAACACCACCGGGGCTCCTGTACTCTCCACCTTCTCTTCAACAAGAGGGGTGGCAAGCTGGAATAGTGGCTCAACAGCACGACGGAGTCTCTCTGCCTTGATCTCCCTCGACGCTGTCGCCGCCACTCCCATCCACGGGCATCGCGTACAGCAGTGCGCGGCGACGTGGTGCGGGCACGCAACGGCACGGGGCCGCACCCACGCGGCGCCACCTCCATCTTCACCACGCCACAGACGACAGTGCGCGGAATTCGGCAGCCGCCGTTTCTGCACAANGCCGCCCCCACGCGGCCCCCCCTCCATCTTCACCACGCCACAGACGACAGTGCGCGGAATTCGGCAGCCGCCGTTTCTGCACAATGCCTTCAAAAAAGCGCACCGGTGCGCGAATGACGTCGCCTGGGCCAAGGCCGGGAAGAACAACACGATGCTGGCGCCGCTCCTCCGGCCGGCGGCTCGCGAGGCACACTACAGACTCACACCCGTTGGGTGTCATCCGCTTCCCAACAACAATGGTGCAGTTGGAAGGGGCGTTGCTGCCCGCCCGTTGGCGCCGCGTTTGCCGCTCAAGCGCGATCCGCAGCTTCTGCACAATCGTGCTGCTCATGCTGAGAGGCCCATCAAGCAGGTGGAAACGAGAGGGAGAGAGGGAGCAGCCATGGTAGGGCAAACAGCGAGCTGTCAGAGAAGACTCTCCACGCCGGAGGTGAAAGATGAGGCCCCCTTTTTTTTTTTT